TTTGCTCTGTACTTCAAGAGAATGAAGACGAAGGCGCAGTGTTGTTCCCGATAAAATTCTTAACTAAGGAAAGTTTTTGTGTATCAAGCACTTTGTGTGCTGGCTACGTCATCATAATCGCCAAATTATACTTGCCTTTTCCCGCCTGTTGCGATGTCATCTTTCGGGCTGCAGTGTTGACACTTGCGGGCGGAATTCTGAAAATGAAAGCGGAGTCCGTGTTACGAGGGACATGCAAAGAGAAAAAAATTACACTTCTTATGAGTGCACTGAAATACAGTGACGTCATACTGATATGTGGACAGCCCTGACGTCTTTACATCAGAGCACGGAGAGTAAAAAGATTAGAGCTGTATTCTTGGGAGTACATCGATATTCCGAAGACTTTCTGCACGCCGCACCACGTAGGTCTATGCTACACTCATGTGATCCGTGGTCACTGTTGAGCTTTAGTTCAGTGTTGCACTAATTTGACTACAGCCGACTAGAGAATGACAATTTGTCCACCGGACCATTACGTCGGAAGTATATCCGAGGTCACTTTGTGAAAATCTCCGCGGATATTCTACAGACTATGAGTGTTCGTTTTTTGTAGAACAGTGTGAGGGTTTTTTGAGTGCGATCAAATGTCGTAATGTTTGTGGTCGTCTTGAATAGCATCTCATTACGACGCTGTAGTCTGTTACAAGAAAGATGAATGAAGACAGGTTTAAAAACATCTCAGTCCATTATCAGTTATTATCAATTGCCATCTCGTCTCAGTCCAGTGCTTTTGGAACACGCCCTTGGCAAATGTTCTTTGGAATCCGAGAGCCCTTCCGAATTGCAACAATACCGCTAAGCGCCCGACGAGAAGCGAGACAATCTAGAAGCAGCGTCCTCATAGTTGTCTTACGTAACACCACGCGTACCTCCAGCAGCAAAGTTTTCTCTGTATTGTCTTGAAATAGCATGAGAAAAATATGTACAAGTTTTGTCCCGGAAACCCCGGCGATTTCATTCCGAGACAGCATTAACCAGCTGATTACTCAGCAAAGAAGACAGGTTTTTAATATAGGAACTGAATTTAAATATTGTTTTGAAGCGCATGAGCAAAGCAAGCGAAAAATATCATCTCGATTTTATCAAACATCCTTCTTCGTCTTCCTTGTATCCTCCTTGAAAGAGGTTTTCCTAACAAAGTCGTGATAGTTTCTTGTCACTGCTGTCCGTGCTGCATGTCTTACCCATCAAAATCCCCTCAGTGTTTCTACTCTAAGGGTGTCAATGTCCCTATAGGAAAACTATGTTGGACATTGAACAGTGTTTGTATGTGATATCTCAAAAAGTGTCAATATCATGACAACCAGTCACCTGAAGACAGGAATAGGATCAACTCCCGAAACGTCGTGTATGTCGAGTATACCACAGACATTGGACAATGTTGAAAATAGTGTTCCTGTAGCGAATGGACCATCGCCTCCAGCAGTTTCTCTGCATCGATCACCAGTTCCTCGTTACGTAATATTCAAACAC